CGGCGAGGTCTGTTTCCGCGATCCCTCTCCGCGGCAGGCCAAAACGGTCCCAGTCCTCTGAGCGACCGGAAATGACGGTCTCTAGTCGTGCTCAGCGCACCTATCCTTCTTGCTGTCTTTGGGGGTTACTCTTAAAATCTAGTGCGTGCAGAATCAGGGGTACCCTGAGTTCTCATAATTCCTACAGCCCGGTCATCCCAAAGCACTGTCAAAACGCGGACTTAACCCTGAGCCTAAACCCCTAAACTGCCGTTTTCAGGCGGCGCACTACTTGTGGCCGCCTGACAACGTTGCACCTACCCGGACTAATGCACTTTATACAGACTTCCTGCATACTAGACTGGAGCCAGACTTCTAGCACACTAGACTGTAGGCTGGAAGACCTTGCTATACAATATAGAGGGGGGGGGGGGAAGGGGGGGGGGATTTAGCAGACTGACCTGCAGAAGCCTGTCAGAGGTGCGAAGTGGTCTTGAGAACTCGAAGATGTAGTCCCCATGCGCTCCCACCAACCCAAATGGAGCATCCTTTGGTCGAAACTCCGCGAGAGCTGAGATGAGATAAAACATTCGCGAGAGTGGAAAGGGAAGCGTCAGGCTTCAGGACAGGGATTCTGTTTTCAGCGATATACCTTCTTTCTGCAGGAAAAAAAAAAGCAATTGCTGATGACAGAAATATGAGAATAATCAAACAAATGAAATTGAAAATGTATACATTGTATAGACTCTCTAGAGACTTTATGTGTAAATAGTGAATAGTGAATACTAAATAGTAAATAGTATATTAGCATGTACGTTATCCCTATATAGTCTATAGAGTCTAGACTCTTATGACCAGAAGTTTTGTCTACACACACAAATGAATAGACTCTGTAGAGTCTACAGACTATTATAACACATCATCATACTATTGTATTCCATCTGATTCCATCCGGATTTCAACTTATGATCTGTGCATCAACAGTTAACATGTCCATAACCTTTTTTTTTTTTTTTTGAAGCACAAGCCACAAAACCCTTGACACCTCACATTCTTGTATTCTGTCCGGATTCCGTCTCATCATCTGAGCATCAACAGTTCACATGTGTGTACCATTCAGCCACATGCGCTGGGTATTATAACCAGCAACTGGCGGTATTACCCACAACAGAAAAACAAGCAAATACAGGACATATCAGAAAACTCAAAACAAATAGATTCCATGATTCCATCAGGATTCGAACTAAATCATCTGGTCATCAAAAGTTGAATATGTGTTATGTATATGTAGTACTGTCTGCAATTCAGCCACATGGGGTGGGCTCTTTTAACCAGCAATACTTACTACCCACAACACAGCACAGAGGTACGGGTTACACGGGTAACACGACAGTTCGCCGACACAAGGGGACAGACAACCGACAAAAAAAATCGGCAGGTTGGGAGTCTAGCAATTGGAGGTCGCTGCTGTCCTTGGGCACATCTGCGAGAAAAAAAAATTGGAACAGTACAGAGAAAGAAGATGTGAGCATGACCCCTGGTCCCCAACCAATGGGCCTAGCTCAGTTGTTATACCCACAAACTGCTCAGTTGAAATATGAATCAGACCCAAGTTCAAATCCAGATACAATCAATCAGATGTGACATTGTGACCAGAATAAGTTTCAATAAAATCATGCTGAATTACATAGGGCCAGTTAGCTCAATCATCATCGATGACGATATCTAAAGTCCGTCGTCGATTTCGGAGGAAAAAAAAGGGAGGAGGACAAAAAGAAAAAGATTAGCATGACCCCTGAGCAAGGATGTGACACACACAAATTGAGAAATCGTAGAGTTTTTTTATTAAAAAAAAAAAAGGGAATTTCGACGTTCCAAGTCGGGACTGCCTCATAGGATCATACCATGGGTTGATGCGAGTCTATGATCAGAAAAGTGCAGCTGCTGGGACCGATGAACGGAACAGGAAATTCTATAGATGGACTCAGCAGTGGGGAGATGAAAGATAAGAGGGGTTAACAAGGGGTAGTAGAGCAAAGGAGGGGTCAGCGTTGGGAAAGGGCATTGGATGGTAGCACAAGAAGAGACACACGGGAGAAGGACATACATCACTTGAGCAGGGATAGGCAGAAGGATGAAGGTGTGAGAGTAACGGCTACTAGTACCAAAAAATAACTCGATGACATTTGATGTGTATCATAATGATTGTTCAATTTCAGGCCAGAGATAACATGGCAGCTTATACAGCTTGTTGAGCATCTAAAGAACACACAGATGCTGCTGCTTGGATTATGGATATGAAGCTGAACGGCGACCAGGTCTCAGCAGCCGGTGCAGCTCTCCATGAAAAAATCAGCATCATCAGAGCTTTTTTTTTCTGTGCTTTCAAAAAGGAAAAGAAGAGGAATTGAAGCTGAACCCTCTCTCTCTCTCTCTCTCTCTCTCTCTCTCTCTCTCTCTCTCTCTCTCTCTCTCTCTCTCTCTCTCTCTGTGGACCTCTCTCTCTCACCAAGCCCATCCAGCTACCCACCTACCCACACACACACACTTGTAGGGTTGCAGGGTTGGTGTGAGTAAGGTCGGCCACTTTTCTCAGGGGTATCACTAACTCTCGGCGACGTGGTGAGGCCTTATCCATCAGTCAAATGCATACTTCGCAGACTGTCTGTCCAGGTTCAACCTCCTCGGAATGAGTCGGAAGTCCGATGAAACACACCTGGGCAGACTGTCGGGGTTCAACCTCCTTATGAATCAGTGCAAGTCCAACGGCACCGACATGCTTTTTTTTTTTTTGTGGAGTTGTGTATAGCAAACATAACAACACACACACACACACACACACACACACACACACACACACACACACA